TGTGTGTGTGTGTGTGTGTGTGTGTGAGGAGGGATGATGGTGGGGTGTTCCTGGAACAGCAGAGGAAAGATTTGGTCTCTTCACTAGTACTCAGAGTTGAGGCCCTGGGTCATTCAATCCAAGCTGGAATATGAGAAGGCTGCAGCCTGCTTTGTTATGTTTTAAACAATGACTGCACAGCCTGCTCAATACAATGACTCGACTTTTCTTGGGCTGTGTAGCTCTTGAGATTAAAAGAGCCTGCTCGCTGCTGAGTGTTAAAGGTCAGTGTGTCAGCAGGAATAAAGCTTCCTTCAATCACAGCCTGTAATTAGACTCAGTGCTTTGCTCTGATGGGAAGCTCTGTTATGCTCTGGCACTCCTAAAGTCTCCACAATCTGCTCTCACTATTTCTGTTTACAGGTCTTCATACAATAGACAATAACACATGCTGACACTGTCTCTTGTATTTAAAGCAGGTCAAAGTTTATAACTATGTTTACATTCACAAAATTGTTTGATCAGATTAAATAATCAGAATGAATCTTTTCCATGGCTTTTTCATGTCATCTGACCATGACGAGAGTTTCCATGCACCAGGCTTTTATTCAGAATAGAAGTGTTGGCATGTGCAGTGTTGTAAACTTTCCCTAAAAAACACAATAAGTTCTGCTTCTGTGATTAGCATAACAAACGTCATCTGAGTGTCCAGAATGGACCTGCAGCAGGTTTTAATAACAGTGGAGATACTGTATTACTGCACTCTCTGATCAAACTACAGGTGAAGCAACCTCTGCTGTTTGTCTTCCTTCTTTATTGGATGAGAGAACGGGAGGAAAAGTTCAATGTTATACCTAACTACAGGAGGTAATTATTCAAAGGTAATAGTTATTTTAGTTTAGAAAATGGTCTTTTACTACCATATTTGTTTTCAAGCTGAAGACTCAATTTGTATGTTTGTGGCACACAGGAGATCTAGCGCATATTTCCAACACCTTTTATACACTGCCTGACCCAAAAAAAAAAAAAAAACTGTCCATCTGGATGTAACTCAGGTCTATGATGTGGGGTTGTTGCAGTTGGTCAGGTCTAGGTTCAGCAAAAGTATGAGCTCAAATAACGAGGTCAGCTGACTACCTGAATATACTGAATGACCAGCTTAGTCCATCAATGGATTGTTTCTTCCCTGATGGCACGGCTAAATTCCACGATAAATTTTGCTGGACGATTGTCTATGAAATTATTGCAATAAATGATAATATTGTTTGGTGACCATTTTAAAACKAATAYAATGATAACAGCATAATAATGCAAGTACATCATCTCAAAGATCAATAAACTTTAATTTTTAAAGACAAACAAAATGGACTCAGTCTCTAAAAAAAATGAACAAAATGRAAATTAAACACCACACACAACTGAAACRGTAAATAAACAATATTAAAGAGCAGCATCTCTTTCGAGATGAAGCGATCTACGCTGTCTGTGAGTGCACATCACTTTGCACTTCCCTTTTTGTATGTTGCTAGTCGGTTGAACAAAAATAAGTCATTGTGGACTGTCGGGAAGACTAAGACAACCCGTCGGTTTTAATTTTTTCCCTGCTGGGAAAACTGCATCAGATGATTATATTTTGGGCGCAGATGTTTGTAGTATTGCTACTTTTAGTTGCTATTTTTTTCACAACAAATTCGACATACCAGCTTCACCATGGTCATTAGGTTTGAATCCAAGTTCTCCCACACTGCAGCTTTGAAACCAGTTCCATCTCCATTTTTCAGAATCCCAACAACGTTTATTGGTACGAACTCTCATGTTCAAGAGGTACGAGACCACGCACCTGGCAATACCTAACACAAGAGTTCACTCCTCCTGACACTAAGAAAACAGGAAGGAGAGGGGTCAGTCGAGCACCCTGTGCACCAGAGCACAGAGAAGGAGAGACGAAAGTAAACAAGCAAGCAGGCAAATGAAAATTATCGTCCTCATTTTTTTTCATCGACCTCAAAATAATTAATCATATGATGAATTGATTTATTGACTATCATGACAGGGCTAATTTCAAGATGACAATGCCAGGATTCATCAGGCTCTTATTGTGAAAGAGTGGTTCAGGGAGCATGAGACATCATTTTCACACATGGATTGGCTCCACAGAGTCCACTGAGAATCTTTGGGATGTGCTGGAGAAGGTCAGACTCTACCATCATCAATGAAAGATCTTTGTGAAAAATTAAAGCAACACTGGATGGAAATAAATCTTGTGACATTGCAGAAGCTTATAGAAACAATGCCACAGTGCATGTATAACGCAATCAAAGCTAAAGGCGGTCCAACAAAATATTAGTGACTTTTTTTTTGACAACTTTTTTTTAGCTATTCTATTGTGTCCTGCTGCCTCCACCACAACAGGAAGAGACAGTCCAACATGGAGTCCTTTACCTTTAGCAGCTGCACTGACGGTTGTGAGGAAAATAAAAGCAAACATGTTTCTATAGATTTTGTTTCATTATTGATCAAAGTTCTGACATGAAAAACAGGTTTAAGTTGTTTTGTGAATGAACAGGTTGAAGAATGGCATTAAACATTAGATGATGCTTCAGAGAAATAACTGCAGAATAATTGATCAGTAAATATAACAGAGGTGGGGTTATAATCTACTTTTTGATACACTGCTTCATAGACATGAATAACTTAGAACTGATATTTAAAACAATCTGTGCAGCCRTTTTGAGCCCATAGAGTTGTTGCTGCACGGTTCTGTTTGTCCTAGTTGAGCTACTGTAGCTTCCTGTAGTTGAAACATGTTTTTAGATTTTTTTTTATTTTTGCTGTCAATGATGGCTGAATTTATCATAAAAACTGACATGAATGAAAACTTTCAAATGTATATATTTATAGTTTACAGTGTTAATTTAGCTTCTATGCTAATTATTAGTCAGCAGGCTGGGATTTATGTTTTTGACATGTTATTGTAATATTTGTTTTAAACAAGAAGATAGACTCAGTGGAAACTTGTTCAGTTGCTTGTTAAAACTAACATATAATCAGCCAAATACTTGACTCAATGAAAGCCTGTAGTTACTTTTGAAAATATCCTAGGATTCACTGTGCCGTCAGCAGACTAAACAGGAAACAAAGACGCAGAGATTTTTTTTAAACCACATTGTCACTTTGTAAATTAATCAYGGACTGAAGAATTAGTTTTTAATCCAGCAGTTAGCCTAGCATCTTAGCTTGGGAAAAGTGATCAAAACTTCTTCCATAAGGGGACGATGGCGGTATCCTCACTGTTACAAGTACAAGCGCAACGTTTTGTTGTCCTCCCGGTGGAGTTTCATGCTGTTTTCCAGAATTTATTTAAGTTTAAACACATTGAAATAAATGGAGTTCTGCTATGAGAGTTTCTCTGTGCACCAGTGTCGAGCAGATGTAATCACGTGCTTAGGTTTCCAAAAAATAACCCGAGTGAAGGTCCCTAGTTAGCTCTAGCTAATATTAGCTTATCATCTTGGTCTGTCTGGTATACATGAAAACATGTTAACAGAATTAACACAAGTTCAGTAAAGTCTTTGTGGCTGTACATGGGAAATTAAATATTTAAAATAAAATTTTACCCGGTTGAGGTGAAGTTTTGTCTCCATCAAAACTT